CAAATTTAAGGCTGTAATCTTTCATCTTCTGCCCCAAGTGTTTCAAGTCCTCTTCACTTTCTGTGAGCAAGACAGTGTCATTTGCATAATGGAGGCTGATGATGAGTCTTCCTCCAATTCCAATGCTACATTCTTCTTCACAGTCCAGCTTCTTGAATGATTTGCTCATCATACACATTGAGTATCTATGGAGAAAGGATACAGCCCCAATACACACCTTTCCTGATTTTAAACCATGCAGTGTTCTCTTGTTCTATCTGGACAACTGGTTGGACAAATACCATGCCTTTCAAGCAGGCATCCAATAAATGAGTCCAACATATATGTAAATAACACTCAAAATGTCCTAAGTACAACTTACCTCCCTTCTAAGATGGGTAAAATATGCGTGCACTGGTATCCAGATGAAATGATGAGCCCACTGGAACTCAAGTTCTTTGGCTTATTGTGGTAGAAGCTGAAGAGACTGTCGATTCCATAGGCAACCTTTGGAATCCCGTAGCACTCAAAGAGAAGCTCGGACATCATTTGCCGTGAATACAAGGGGTTACACACAGCTTCTGTCAAAACGATGGGGTGATCCACACAGCCCTATTTTGAAAGAGAAGGGCAGCCAGATGAGTGATAACAGAAACACAGTCTTCTTAAAACATTAAAGAAGCCAAAATCCTTAACATGGAGCTGAATTTGCTTTTGGTCTCTCGTCAATCTAATCTAGGGTAATGGGAAAGCATTCACTTCAGCTCTATCGGAGACTGTCCTGGAAAATATGAAAATCAAACAATTTAAGGTTATTATGTCAAGCCCACCCAAACTGTCAGCAAATTCAACTGGGCTCTTTTTCAAGAAAGCTATCTCCAAAATCCAACTGCTTCCTACCACATCTGCTGCTACCTCCTCTGAGCCACCATCATCCCTCATTGCTGCCTCCTCTGAGCCACCATCATCCTTCACATAGATCGCTGCAACATCTCAATGGTCTGTTCCATCCTTTCCCCCAGGACAGTCCATACTGAAACCAAGCTGTTGTTGCTGGACACAGAGAACCCATGTGCCCATGCAGAACTGCCCCATAGGCTTTTCCATGCTGTTATGAAAGCTATTCATGAGGTCTTTGTTCAACAGTCCCAACCACCAAGCCATTCAGTTAGGAGCCTGGTGCTTAAACATCGTACTGCCAGGACTCTGCGTTTCCAATCCATAGAGCTGCTTTTAAAACCTAAGTCTTAAATACTGCATAGTGCCACTGTTGTAAATGGGACTGACATCGGGACTAAGAAATGAGGGGATAAATAATGTATACTGCATTGAAACAGATGAGGGAGAGAACTATTTCAAAGGAATATAGGATTAGGTATTATTCTCATGGCAAGGTTACAGAAAAAAGAAATGCATATTAAAGTGGACTGTGGATTGGGAAGAGGGAAATGTATAACGATCATTTTTTTTCCTTCAAGAAGAAAAATGAACTGGGGGGAGGGGTGGGTAGGGAGGAAAATGTGCAACAATGAATGAATGGGGGGAAATTAATGGAAAGAATATGCCGTAAAAAATATATATGTTGTATTAAAAATCATTAATTAAAAAAGAAAGAAGTTCAGGCTGCTTTGAAGGAAATGGCAAAAAATAAGGCTCCAATTGACATAGTTCAGTTAACAGATGCTGCCCTGGACGTGCTCACCAAGTTGTGCCAAGAAATCTGGAGAACAACCACTTGGCCAACTGACTGGAAGAGATCGGTATTTGTTCCTATCCCAAAGAAAGGTGACCCAACAGAATGTGGAAACTACAGAACAATCTCACTGATTTCACATGCAAGCAAGATTTTACTGAAGATTATCCAAAAACAACTGGAACAGCACATCAACAGAGAACTACCAGAAGTCCAGGCTGGGTTTAGAAGGGGTCGTGGTACTAGAGATATTGTAGCTGATGTTAGATGGATCTTGGCTGAAAGCAGGGAATACCAGAGGAATGTCTATCTGTGTTTCATTGACTATGCAAAGGCATTTGACTGTGTAGATCATAACAAACTGTGGCTGACTCTGAGAAGAATGGGAATCCCAGAACACTTGATCGTTCTAATGTGAAACTTATACTTGGACCAGGAGGCAGTCGTCAGAACAGAGCAAGGGAACACTGCATGGTTCAAAATTGGGAAGGGCGTATGCCAGGGATGCATCCTATCTCCATACCTTTTCAACCTCTATGCAGAACAGATTATCCAGGAGGCTGGGCTCTATGAGGAGAAATGTGGGGTCAAGATTGGTGGACGATTTATCAACAACCTGCGTTATGCGGATGATACAACCCTGCTTGCTGAAACTGAAGAGGACCTGAAGCGCCTGCTGCAGAGTGTCAAGGACTGCAGCCTACAATATGGATTGAGGCTCAATGTCAAGAAGACAAAGATTCTCACCACTGGACCAACTGGCAGCATCAGGATGGATGGTGAAGAGATTGAGATTGTACACAGCTTTAGTTTGCTTGGCTCCATAGTCAACAGTCTTGGCACCAGCAGCCAGGAAATTAAAAGGCGCATTGCCATGGGAAAGTCTGCTGTTAGGGACCTCTCCAAAGTACTGAAGAGCAATGGTGTCTCTCTGGAGACTAAAGTGCGTCTGATACAGTCTATGGTCTTCGCAATCACTTGTTATGCATCAGAGAGTTGGACAATGACCAGGGATGATAGAAGAATTGATGCCTTTGAGCTGTGGTGCTGGAGAAGAGTATTGAGAATACCATGGACTGCTAGAAAAACAAACAGATTTGTCCTGGAAAGGGTTAAACTGGGTAGCTCCTTGGAGGCAAGGATTCTGAGGCTCCGTCTAACATACTTTGGACATGCTGTGAGGAGGGACAGGTCCCTGGAGAGGGATATCATGCTTGGGAGGGTGGAGGGACAGTGCAGGAGAGGAAGGCCCTCTATGAGGTGGATTGATTCAGTGACTGGGATAATTGGGATGGGAGTGTCAGAGACAGTGAGATTGGCACAGGACAGAGCGGAGTTTAGGGCTGTTGTACACAGGGTCGCTATGAGTCGCAAGCGACTCGACGGCACATAACAACAACAACAACAACACAAAAAAACCCATTTAATTAAAACGAAAACAAAACCAAAAAACATACGTCTTGGCTCAGCTCAATACCCTGCACTAGTTCACATTACACCTACTACAAATGCTTATAAAGCACAATATTGGGTCCTGTGGTTACCTCTCTGACCCCCTCTTCCACTTGGTACTGCTCTCCTCTTCACACTGCTATTGTCAAGGTACCAAAACACTGTCTGTCTCTATGGCTTTATCCTACGTGAGCCCGCTGTGTGGCTATTGTGTTCACCTCTCTCACTGCAGACATCTCTGTTTTCAGTGACCTACTTTAACAAACTTTCCTAGTGGTTGGCACACTCCTGCCTCAGGACCTTTGCACTGGCTCTTCAGGCTACTTCCTCACATGCCCACATGCTGGCCCCCTCAATCACCTCCTCCAAGTCCTTGCTCAAACTTCACCTTCTCCTGGAGACCTAACTCTAACCATCTTCCGTTAAAATGCAACTCTCCCTCTATCTTGCCCTAGAACTTACTTAATTCTGGTGTTTGTAGTCTACACTTTCATTGAGTTGCATTCCAACTACCTAGAGAAGTGCCTGGCAAAGGTTAAGCACTCAATAAAAATTTGTTACTAAATGAGCCATTAACAAAGGCAGGAATGTCCACTCCAAGGGAAAAGGGGACAGAGGGTAGAGGGTGTGGCATTGCTCATGGCTTGGACAAATACTATGCCTTTCAAGCAGGCATCCAATAAATGAGTCCTCAGCATATGTGCAAGTAACACTCAAAAATTCACGGCTCTAGGGGAGCTCTGGTGGCCTACTGGCAAGGAGCTGCAACTACAATCCCAGAGGCGCACGGTTTGAATCCACCAGATGCTCTGCCGGGGAAGGAGGGACAATCTCCTCCTGTACCAGTCAGATCTGATTTGACGGTACACGCACACAAAAATAATAAAATAAAATAAAAAATTCAGGGCTCTAACTCCAAGCACAAGTGATTGTTAAGTGCTGCTGAGTTGGAACAGACTCAGCGGGGGTTTCAGAAGCTGTAAATCACACGAGGAGGACACTTCCCCAAAGCAAGTGGTGGATTTGAACCACCTGCCCCTGGTTTAGCAGCACAGCTTTTTACCTACTAGGCCACCAGCGCTCTCTTTACACACGTTGTTGTTGTTGTGAGGTGCCCTTGAGCTGCATAGGGCTCACAATGAATGACCCTATGAACAACAGATCTGAACCCTGTCTTATTTTGTACCATCCTCACAATCATTGACATACTAGAGCCCATTGCTGCCATCACTGTGTCAATCTATCTGGTTGAGGGTCTCCTTCTCTCCTGGCGACCCTCCACCTGTCCAAGCATGAAGTCCCTCTCCAAAGAATGCACATGATAGACGCTTAATACCGGATCAACAAACGGAACGAATGACAATCCCAGGCACTGCAGCGGCTGGTAGCTCTGGGGGTGACGGTGAGCAGAGCAAGCCCACCCTGCTGCCCGGATCGTCCACACCCACCCCAGCCCCTCACCTGCGAGGAGACGCCCAGGTGCTGGAAGCTGTAGTCCAGCAGCATCTCCTGCAGCTCCAAGTTAACCGGCACGTTGCGGTCGAAGGGCGAGCGCAGCATCCAGCGCAGCGGCTCCAGGCTGCCCAGCGCGTTGCCCACCTGCGGACCCGGGCCGCCCCGCGCCGCCCCACGGCCGCGGGCGCACACGGCGCGGAACTGCAGGCGCGGCTCGGGGCCAGGGTCCGGGCCGGGACACGCCCAGCCGGCCCGGGCCTGGAACGACCCATTGTCCAGCACCAGCGGCACCGGCAGCGGCCCGTATGCCACCGGGCTGGCCTCCAGCACTGGATCTGGAGCGGAGCGAGCATCGCGGAACAGGAACACATTGGCCGCGGGGCCCACGGCACCGGCCGCCGCCATGTTGGAGCGCACGCGCCTCGCTCCGCCCCCTCACCGCTGCGTCAGACCAGCTGGGGCTAAGCCCCGCCCCCTCACGTAACGCCGCGCGGCGCCGGTCACTCCGTAAGGGAATCGGTGAGCCTTCCTTCCATGTGACTCGTTTTGGGGGGCTTAGGTCGGCCTCGGGGCCGCTAGGCCTCGCTCATGCTGGCTGCGAGGACCTGCTGCTGCTCGTAACTTCTCCTCTCGACACCGGCCGGCACGGCGTGACCCCACCCCTTCCTGGCCTAGAGAAACACTTTCGCGTGGCCACGCCCACTGACGTCACTCTTTCGCTCGCCCGCCGCCCTTGGCTCTGCCCTCATGCATAGCCACGCCCTTACGTGTGGCCACGCCCCCCACTTTAGCGATTCCCCCCACTTTTGATCCATCCCTCAGCTGTCCTGGAAATCAAAACTCTGAGATCCTCTACTGCCGCCAGTTGGTCGTGACCTTCCATCGAGTTTCTCAGGTTTAACTCACCGGTGCCTCCGGGTCAACAGCGCAACTCGCTATGGACTTTGCCACCAGAATTCCCTCTGGGATCCTCTGCTCTCTAGTCAGTACAGACTCATAGCTGACCTTTGGGTTTCTGAGGTTCAAAATCAAATGAGTGAAGATTGCCTATCTTTCTCCTCTTTAGCCCATAGCTGCAGTTACTGTGTCGGTCCATCTGGCTGAGGGTTTTCCTCTCCTTCACTGACCTTTCTTCCTTCCAAGCATGATGCCTCTCCTAGCAACATGCCCAAAGTATGCAAATGTCCTGGTATGTTCCATTTTTTGACCTGGGAGCTCGATACACAAGTGTGTTCACTCTGGAAATGAAGGAAGCTGACGACTTGTGACCTGTGCCCTTTCGTGTATATATGTTGCTTTCCACTACATTGTGAAGTGAGTTTTTAAGACAAAAAACGAAGCACATTTATTCATTAACTCCCTCACTGTAATCTCTGGCTGAGATCTGAAGACTTAAAAAAAAAACCGCAAACTGCTTTCAAAACAGAAGTTGCTCCATGGAATTTTCAATGGCTGATTTGGGGAGAGCACGATGCCAAAGTTTTCTTACGATGCACTCCAGGGTGGATTCAAACTGCCCACCAGTTTTTCAGTTAGCATCCAAGCCCTTAACTTTTTGCACCACTTAGGTATTATTCCCACCAACCTCTCAAACATATGTGTTCTTCCTGTTAGTGGTAGAATTCTCTGGTAATCTAGCTGAGTGTAAGTGCAGATGAAAGAGAATCCGATGTGACTCCCTTCCAGTTTTATGTATGACACCGAGAAGAATGGGAATCCACCCATGCAAAGCCTTTACCGAGACCAGGAAGCTGCAGTCCAGACAGAGCAAGTGAACACTGCGTGGTATAAAATCAGGAAAGATGTGCATCAGGGTTCAATCAGTATGCTGAACAAATGACTCAAAAAATGGGAGGGAGGGATGGTGGAAAAACAATGTATACTAACTTTGTAAGTATACCAGTATAAAAGAAATATTAAAAAACTATGTGGCATCAAGATTGGATAAAAATTCATCAATAACTACCGTTTTGCAGATGCCACAACCTGGATTGTTGAAAATGAAGAGGACTTAAAAAACACTTGCTGCAGAAGGTAAAAGACTAAAGCTCTCAATATGAACTACATTTCTACATCAAGAAATTCACATCACTGAACCCACTGGCAACATTGTGATCGATGGAGAAAAGACTGAAGTTGTAGAGGATTTCATTTTGCTTACTCCACTATGAAAACCCAGGGTAACAACAGTCAAGAAATCAAAAGACCTGTTGCTCTGGGGGGGGGAAAAATCTGTTTACAAGGACCTCTCCAAAGTGCTAAAGAGCAATGATGTCAGTTAAAGATCAAAGTGTGTCTAATTCAAGCCATGGTCTTTTCAGTTATTTCTTAAGCATTTGAAAGCTGATCAGTGAATAAACATGTCAAAAGAAGAATGTATGCCTTTGAATTATGATGTTGGAGAAGAATACTGAATATCTCACGGACTACCAAAAGAACAAATAGATTTTTAAGGTAGTGTAACCAAATACTCCCTACAGTCAAGGATGGTGAACCTTCATCTCACATACTTGGGACATGTTGAGAGGTGTCAGCCCTTGAAAAAAGCCATCATGTTGGGAAAGGTGGAGGGTCAGAAAAAGAGAGGAAGACCTTGAATGAGGTAGACTGACACAGTGAATGTAAAAATGTGCTTGGGCATATCAGATGGTGAGGATGGCACATGATAGGGCAAAATACAGATGTGTTTTTCATATGGTTGCTATGAATCATAGGCAACTTGGTGGCACCTAATAACAACACTCTCTGTTTTAGCCCTAAAAAGATTTGGTATGCTCTCTCTGCTCCATGCCCAGACCTATTTCATCTTTTCACTGACTGAGCAAATAAGAATTAACCTTGAGTCCATCCTACAAGCTACCCAACTTTGAATGGGGAAAACAAATAAATTATAATGAGATGAGATCCAAGACTTTTCTCAAGAACCTCAGGTAAAGACTAGCAAGCATCCCAGTGATCTGTCTGTACTTCTGGGAATATTTGTTTTCAGCCATCTTACTGTAACTGACAAATTCTTACAAGCCCAGAGTTTTATATTGTGTCATGGTTCTCCATCTAAAAGTTGAACAATGACTAAGGAAGACCGAAGAATTGATGATGTTGACTTGTGGTATTGGAGAAGAGTCTCATGGACTGTCAAAAGGGCAAACAAATCTATCTTGGAGGAAGTGCAACCAGGGTGCCTCTTGGAGGCAAGAATGGTGAAACTTCATCTCATGTATTTAGGGCATGTATTCAGGAGACCAGTCCTTGGAAAAAGACATCATGCTGGAAAAGGTAGAGGGGTCAACAAAAGAGAGGAAGACCTTCAAAGTGATGGGTTGACACAGTGATTGGAATGCTGGGTTTTGGCATGGTGGAGATTGATCGTAATGATGGTGCAGGATACAGTAGGTTTTGACCTGTTGTTTATAGGATCACTATGGTTTGTAGTTGACTCATTGACAACAACGACATGATACCCAAAAGCCTTATTTCAGGCAAGTGCTTATGTGATCACTGTTCTATTTTTCATTTCTATCCTGGTAGTTTGCATCTAGGGCGCTCTGGCAGCCTAGTGGCAAGAAGGTGTACTGCAATCCCTAAGGTACATGGTTCTGAATTCACCAGCTAGCTACTCTGTGGGAGAATGGGCAATCTCCTCCCTTACGTTTAAATGTCTCTAGAAACCCACTAAAGGGTCAGCTATGGGTCAGTTCTGACCCGACAGTACACCACAACAGTCTCTATCTAATAATTTCCTTTCAAAAAAAAGATTAGCTTTGCCTTTTTTGAAAATGCCAAATTTTATTCAGCACTTATTAGATATTAGTAGAAAAAATATCTTCCACATGTTCTGTTCTGCCTTATTGCTAGAACCACAGTTTATAGTTCACACCATGCTTTGTTTTGGGTTATTTTCTAAGCCCCCCATTTAACATTCTGAAGTGCCCATTGCCTTTATGCATATTAATCTGCCTGGAGATAAACTCTGGTCTCAATCAGATAATTAGCAGTGAATGCAGCAATAGTCTGAAGCAAGCTAAGATGGTGAGGACAGCACGAGATTCTGCCCTTATTCTTCTGGGGAGCCCCTCTATACTTTTAGGCATTCCTCTTCCTGATAAAGGATTCTTCCATTCCTGCAGAAGCTCCTAAGAGATCACTCAGACATGTTCACAAACTACTCGGTGGTCATCTTTGCCACGGAGTCCTTCCCTGTTGTTTGTTGCTGGGTGCCCTGGAGTCGGCCCCTGTCGCAGTGATAACAGAACAAGACTCTACCCGATGCACCTCACATACTTTGGGCATGTTGTCCTGAGGGACCAGTTTTGGAAAAAGACCTCAGGCTGGGAAAGGTCTCCTTCCAGCGAAAGTGGGGAAGCCCCTCAATGAGATGGCTTGACACAGTAACTGTAACAATGGGCTTGAGCACGTGGGAGGTGGTGAAGATTGCGCAGGATAGAGCAGCAGCAGCATCATAGGGTAGTTATGAGTCGCAGTCAAATAGAAGATGGCACCTAACAGCAACTGTCCTGGAATTCCCATTCTTCTCGATGTTAGCCATAATTTGTTATGATCCACACAGCCAGATGCCTTAGCCTAGTCAATGAAACACAAATAAACATTCTTCTGGCATCCTTTGCTTTCAGCCGGTATCCATCTGACATCAGCATTGATCTCTTTGGTGCCATAGTGTCTTCTAAAACCATCTTGAACTTCTGGTAGTTCCCTGTCAAGGTACTATTCTTGCCCTTTTTGAATGATGTTTAACGAGAAATGTCTCCTCACAGTAGAGTCTACCTTTATTTAATATCCATGGAGTAAAGCTGTCAGCCAATGAAAGATCTTATTTGCTAATGTAGTACAACCCAAAATGAGAAGAAATGTCAGTTGTTGTTGTTGTTAAGTGTCATTGAGTCGTAAACGACTCATAGCGACCCTATAAACGAAAGGCCTGAGCACTGTTCATAGAGTTTCTGGAGGCAAGCCATTTCGGAAGTGGATGCCACTCCTGCTTTCAAGCTTGTTTTATTGGGAAGATCCACCAAACACTGTCTACCATGGGTGAACCATTATCGCATTTGGCACATGAAATGTCCTAAGTAGGTAGGAGATTAATATTTCGAATGTGAAATATAAGAACTATACATATAGGAATATTGGAGGTGGTAAGAAAAGTGGTACAGCACTCCTCTGTCAGTTTGCTGCACTGAGGTAACCTGGAGTTGCTGTGATGCTGAGCCTTGTGCAATTGGGGAGTCAAATGCCATAGTTGTTGCCCATGGTGGACAGTGTTCGGTGGAGCTCCCAGTTTAAGATAGGTTTGGAAGCAGGTGTGGCATCCACTTCCTAAATCACATGCCTCTGGAAACCCTGTGAACTTGGAGAAACAAGGATAGTTATAGAAAGACTTCAGGACTTTT